TTGTCGCCCCTTGTAGCTGCCAGGGTGACCGTTCGGGGTGCTCGCGCCATGAGCAGTGGAGGCAGCGCTGACCTTAGCCAAACCGAGCTATACTACGTACTCAAGGTGCCAAGAGAAGCGAAAAGTCATGGAGGCCGCGAAGTCGGCGATGAGAATGGTGATGGAAGAAAAAAGGGTGTGTCGCTTGCAGTTGCCGTGCAACAAGCCGTTCAGCTACCCCGGATTCGTTGCGCCAACTATGACGCTTCGGTCGATCTTCACCCCGCATGTCGATTTATCCTCCAACACGAACGCTACTAGCCCGTGTCGCATGCACACCGTTGCATCAGCATATTACTACGACTAACTGCCATCTCAATTGACGAATCGCGTGCGAATCTCCGTCGTCGTGAAATGCTGATCTTTACAGCGGGCCGACATTCCTGCACGGTTGTCGGCAACCGCCCTCGGCTATATGGTATGGGTGTGCGCTGGTGTATATCTTCGTCGCATGACGGTCGTTGAATGATGTACATGGCGCGAGCTACCCCGGTCGATGCTTGGGAGTACGGGCAAGCTTCATATAAGTGGAAGCTTGGGGCCCCGCAGTGTTGCTTGTCGTCTCTTGTCGCTGCGCCCTCACCTTGACCACATTTCAGCTTGACGCTATCGCATTGCCTACGTCGAATCGATAATCGCATAGTTCGCTCTACGCGCGCGGATACGGCTATCAAAGCGAAAATGGCTGACGACCGAAAACCTTCGATCGAGCATATCTCGGATGACAAAACCGCGCCTACTACTCTGGAAGCAGGAAATGGGGTCGTCGATGGGCATCGCAAGCTGGTCCCACCGCCGTTGGTGGCTGCTATGAGTGCCGAGGAAAGGATTGAAGCAGAGAAGAGGATGCGACGGAAGATCGATACGAGATTGTTGCCGATGATTATCTTAATGTATATCATGAGTACGTCTTGGTAGATGGCCGCGGATGGGCAGCGCTAATGATGCCCAGATTACCTCGATAGGAATAACATCGCTGCCGTTCGCCTAGCAGGTCTTCAAGACGAGCTGGAACTCACCAGTGTGCAGTATCAGGTATGCAATCGTTTGAGCCACGCCAAGAAATCAGCTGACTGACTACTATAGACCACCGTCTCCATCCTCTTCGTCGGTTACATCCTCATGCAGATCCCGTCAAACCTGTTAGTAATATCCATGTACGAACTGTATGTGAGACAAATACTGACTTCGTACACTCATCTTTAGGTTCCTCAACAAGACCGGAAAACCCGCCATTTACCTCCCGACGTGCATGATCATTTGGGGGGTCATATCAGGCGCTACCGCGGCATGCCAGAACTTCGCTGGACTGGTGGTGTGCCGTTTCTTCCTGGGATTCATCGAGGCCGCGTACTTCCCAGGATGTCTCTTCTACCTCAGCGCTTGGTATACGAGGAAGGAGTTGGGTCTGAGAACGGCGGTTCTTTATTCTGGAAGTTTGATCTCGGGCGCCTTCGGTGGGCTCATCACCGCGGGGATCACGAGTAATATGGATGGTACGCAGGGCTTGAGAGCGTGGCGTTGGGTGTTCATAATCGAGGTAAGTATCGCACGCGCCGAGCCAGGTGTCTGGGATGTTAGCTGATCCTTCAGGGTATCATTACCGTCGCGATCGCCTTTGGCGCCTTCTGGATCCTACCCAACTTCCCTCGAACAACTTCCTGGCTTACAGAGGAAGAACGCCAACTCGCCGTCTACAGGCTCCAGGAAGACGTCGGTGAAGACGACTGGGTCTCTGCGGAATCGCAGACCTTCTTCCACGGCCTAAAGCTTGCTTTACTCGATATCAAGACTTGGGTCCTTACAATCATGCTTCTAGCGAACGTATCCTCGGCTAGTGTTACCAACTTCTTCCCGACAGTGGTCAAGACTTTAGGATACCCAAACATCGAGACGCTTCTGCTAACAGCACCACCTTACGTTCTCGCGGTCATCACGACCTACCTCAACGCCTGGCATGCCGACCGCACCGGCGAACGATTCTTCCACATCGTCCTCCCTCTCTGCGTCGGCGTAGCAGCTTTCATCCTTGCCGCCGCTACGACTGCAACAGCACCTCGCTACGTCGCCATGATGCTGATGGTACCTGGTGTATACACTGGATATGTCGTAGCTCTGGCCTGGATCTCCAACTCTTTGCCTCGTCCGCCAGCGAAGAGGGCAGCTGCACTGGCTTTCATCAACGCGATCAGTAATACGAGCTCGATTTATGCAAGCTACATGTATCCTCAGCCAAAGAGTGGTCCGGCGGATTTGACGGTTCCCCTGAGTGTGGATTGCGCAACTGCAGCACTGGCCATTATCATGGCGGTCATTATGCGCGTTATACTGGGGCGGCTGAACAAGAAACTTGCTCGTGGAGAACACGTTGAAGGCGCAATCAACGCTGTCCCTGGGGTTGGTGCCGAGAGAGGTTTCAGATTCTTGATCTAGAGACATGGAACTGGAGATTGTAGGGTAGTGAGTTGGATATAGAGACGATTAGCAGGATTGTGCATCGATTGGTCCCCCTGTTTTACTTCTTTGCCACCCCCCTTCTTCCGTCACCTCACTGGATGACGACGCGTACAGGTGCTGAGACAACAGTTCCCCTCTTCTAATTGCTTTTCCTCGGTGTCTCGATCAGAACTACTCGTGATACATGTGTGAAGGCTGGTGAGTGGCTGGATGCTGACTTGGCGAGATACTGGAAGGTTCCATATCGTCATCGGCCCGAACAAGGCTTAGCGTCTATCGCGAGCTTTGGCCACCCAGGCAGCGCGTCGCGCGACGACTCACCACGTTTTATCGCAGCCCATCCCAGCAGCACATCATCCGTCGAGGATTCAGCAGCACATTCGCACGACACATCACTATCGGCCCGCTTCACCAGAGTTGCAAATACACCTTTCACTGCTGGGGACCATAGAGTGAACGCCTCGCGATAGCTAGCGTCACACTCTGTTAGCGCTCTGTGCACACACGATGCACCTCCACGCGACCACAGGAACAGCGCCGATTATTCAACGCAGACCTTGATCACTTTCGCGTCGGGAATCGCACAACATCAATCACTTCGATACTGTGTAACTTTCGAAGAACCAATCAACACCATCACTCAAGGCAACCACGCGTTGTCAGCTGACGCCACCTGCATATCTTCTGCAAACTTCAAAAGCACAACTTGGAGATCAACCTCATTATGGATTTTTCGAACAGTGCCTTTAGGCCTATGCCGAACTCTAAAGTCTCCGACGACACCATGTCTCACGCAAATCTTGTTATGGCATGTCGGTGGGGCTGGACGAGCACCCCGGACGAAGGAGCAAACAACCCCTTCGCCTCTACATCTACCTCGCAACAAATACCCGCCTCTACGTTCAACAACATACGGACCAAGCGTTTTGCGCCATGCCAAGGTCGTCTATATCACCAGCTACTCTGCTCTCACCGTATCCGGACGGACCTTGTCGAGGACTGTGGCGAAAACTGCATCGATCCGTATGGCGACCAGGTTGACGCTGCCTTTGTTTGCAATGAGTGCATTCAAGCCGAAGCAGCGAAGATTTGGGAACAACGGCAAGCGGCGCATAATGCGACCTACCCTCCCATGGAGCAGATGAACAAGGAGCAGTACGAGCAGTGGTATGCAGAGCACCGACAGCTCGAAGCAGAGTTCTCGCGCGACCAGCGACTGTACGAGTTGGAAATCAAGGCCAAGGCGCGACCGAGCAACATTTGTTCCGCGCTGGAAGCTAGCAAAGAGGAGATGGACTTTGCGACCGAGCTTGACACACTATCTCTTTCGTTGATGGCGTCGAATAACTCAAACGCTGAGCAAGCGCCTTACCAGCCGCAAGGACGTACCCGAACGAGCTTGGCGACAGATCCTGATGAGCAGCTCCATTGGAACTTGAACACGCTTGCTTTGGATCGCGGCGCATGTGGTATCGAGTACTCGCAGCCGAGTAGTGGAGTGTCTCCAACACGGCAACTGGACCCGGAGGAGTTGTGGAGGAAGCCACGGAATTGAGATTTCCCACACTGTTGTTAGTCTGGCGTACATGTCGTGTTGATTAGCGATTGCATAAGCTTGGCGTCTGGAAAACTCCGCGCATGTGGAAATGTTTGTGTAGGACTTTCGTGTAAGCAACAAATGTCTTGTCTAGCAACTCTGCTATCTGAATGGGCCTGAAGTCTATGTGTACCGCGTTTTCCAGTGGGTTGCATGAAGCTGCGCAGCGACACGAAGATTGTGGTTCGATGTGGGGCGTAGTGATGTGTCAAAGCATTAGCACGACGCACACTGCCCCTCTTGTGAAGAAAGCACATATTCTGTGGAACGATTGCTTGGCTTTCTCGTTACAGCGCGTTCTACGTCAGGAAGATCGGCTTCGAAACTGCTGATGCATTCAAACAATCGACACCATTAATGTTGTATCTTGGAAATTCTGTATCGAAATCTATTCGGAGCCTTGGCGCAATGGTAGCGCGTTGGTTTTCGGTCAGAAAGCATAAACACCAAAGGTACACTTCACCAATCACATCTCATACCAGCATCATCTAACAGTTCTTCAGGTTGTGGGTTCGATCCCCATGGGCTTCGTCTTCTTTTTGCCCGTTCTATGAAGTAGTGCATCTTGGGTGTTGAATGCATGAAGTTTAGAACAAGGCGAGGAAAGAATTGATCGACCCCGCCGAGTGATCCCCGCAACCACCAGTGTAAATGCGACCTGGCTATGTACCTCGCTGCCTCCACGCCGCGGCTGAATAGGTTCGATCTCTTTTTTTGCATTCTTTTTGTGCCTTAAAAGAGCAGGGCTGCTAGACGTTGACGATGCTTGCCTGACGGACTCGTTGCAGCATTACCCCGCAATCGGCCTTCCAACGGCAGATCAACTGCGCAGACAGCCTCATTCTTGCTGAGTCAAATGTTCATGGTGTCCTACACTACACTGGCCATCTCTACTTCAAAAGTCCTTCTACCACTTCTCCAGCATAGGCCTCACATCAACCTCATTTACCCAGCCCCTTCGTCCTTGAGTGTGTAGCCCCCAGTAAACCTCTGCAATATCCTCACTCCCAATACTCGCCTCGTCCGGCTTCCCTTCTATGTATTTCTTCGTAAACTCGATGTCAATCACACCGTCAATGACTGCGTGCGCGACGTGCACGCCTTGCGGACCGAATTCTTTCGCGAGGCTCGTAGATAGAGCGCGTAAAGCGAACTTCCCGGTTGAGAAAGAGGACATTTGGGCGTTTGATTTCACGCTGGCTGTCGCACCCGTGAAGATGAGGGTTGGTGGGTAGGTGCCGGCAGGAGGATTGGACTGTACGTGGGTGAGGAGGAGCGGGATGGCGTTTTGGGCAATGTGGAACGCTCCTTTTCTACACGATTGAGATTTGTTAGCACTGTGTACACGTCGACATTGGAACGACATAAACTCCATCCAGGATAACGTACACGCTAACCTCCCACCCCATCCCAAACTCCTCCGTCGTCAACTCCAGGAACGGCTTCCTAGACGGCCTTGCGCTTGCGTTAAAGATCATAGCTGCGACAGGCGCCCCGCCATAGACTTCTTTGATCTTTGCAAACGCGTTCTTGACGCTCTCTTCGCTGCTGACGTCCGTGGAAATGCCGATAGCTTCCCTACCGGACTGGTTTATCTCCTCGGCGAGAGCCTCAAAGTTGGAGGGATTACGGGCCAGGAGGACGACGGGGTAGGACTTCGCGAAGCGACGCGCGAGGGATGCGCCGGTGCCTGAGCCGACGCCCGCGATGATGGCGATGGGTTTACTGGCCATGGCAGTTGCGTTTTTGTTGTCTGTATCTTGAGAGTGGGATATAAACTGTTGGTAAGATGGGTCGTCCCGACGCTGTTTGTAATATGAAAATATGGATTTGCGTTCCATATGAGCAAGGACAGCTGAGGTTATGTAAGGTACGTCGGATAGCTACGCAACTTCAATATTTCGTAAGCATCACGATGGGGATGAGGTTCGAAGAGTAGTCGATCAGTAATCTGGGGTACTCTATACCTAGGCATTCTTTAGCATCTTGTTGGTCAGCGCTAGCTTCAATCCTGTGTACCGTGTTACCTAGGTACTCAGCAGAATCCCAGCTAGGTAATGGGTCATTCTGTGGAGTAAAGCGTAAAGCGTGAGATATGGAGGAAGTTCAGACCGTTTACGGCCGTAAATTATTCCCATTCAATCTCCCGGGGTAATGTTGATTGTATCAGCCGCCGCGTTGTAAGAGGTGTTGATGGTGTCTACGTCAGTTCTTGACCCCTCCTTGACGATCATCGCCTAGCTGCATGCTTGTGATGGCAGTAGTAGAGTTCCGGATACTAGACTTTCTCATGTGTTAGTAGACAGCGGTGTTTGCTGGGCGACTAGACTTGCGATCTGTCTGGTGCATGCTGTAAGTCAAAGCGATGAAGGTGTACCCAGATCTCCGCCCGCACAGCGATGTGGCCTGTGCGTGCCTGCCCATGGAGGTACGCGTCCACGCGTCTGCACACCCCAAATATCAACCATGGCGTCGTCGCGCGCTCTCCGGAACTCGAGGCAAAGAACGCGGAGTACGTTTGTATCGCGTACTGTCGGCACCAGCGCAATGAAAAGACTGCACCGTTGTTGCCACCGTGTCGCACGAGGTCCTATCCTCGCAAGGACGCGTCGGTCGAAATGACGGATCGACGGATGTCGCAATAGTCGTAAACTCTCGACAACTGCAGTCCCCGCTTCTCGCATCGGTATCCGGGGTCACTCGACATGTGCATTCGGACGCGATGACTAGTCAACAAGTACCCATCAGAACGGTCCAAACCTTCCCTCTCCCGGTGAGTATATAGATTGTCGCTTTCCCACAGCACCAAGACATCATACACGACTTTTCCAACATCTACCAATGGCTTCTTTTGTATACAACAGCGCTTTCCAGTGCTGCGTACCCAACCCGCTGACCCCTCGAGGAGAAGGCGAAATACCTACTCCAGAAGAAGAAGCACTCGCTTGCAAGATCAATCGCGCCCTCGCATCTGGACCTATATCCATCACCAAGAATGCCACCATCGCCGATTGGAGCCACTGGGGCCCCGATCGAAAACTAGTCATTCTACGAGAAGGTACAAACCACTGGACAGCCTTCCCCGGAAACGAGAACACAGTCGGCAATGTCCCGATGTGCGCCGATCCCATGGGTCTCCAGTGGATCCAAGATGCGTATGCCGCAAAGCCAGCACCTACGAACACTGCGCCAGGTCTCATATACATGTTGTGTGGAGCGAATCAGCACACTACCACAAATCCGGCAGACAGAACGAGCCCGGCTATTCCAATCGGGCCGCACTATATGATCCTGTGGCCTTTTGAAGCGGAACGAGATGGGTTTCCGGATACAATTCGCGACCAGGGTGCCTGGATCATGTTCGACAAGACGCCGTACGCCCATTTGCACGTTTGCGGTACACCCTGGGCGGGGAAGGAGTACGATAGGGAGAAGACGAAGGCGAACTGGGATTTACGTTACGAGGATAGGACTTGGTGATGATTTCGTGGCGGCAAAATTAAAACGAGTGAGCGACAAGAGCTAGTCAGCGCTACGTCTATCTCATACCCGATCAACATACTATGCGCACTCAGCATCCACAACTTTGCATTCCCTCAACCCTCTCGCTTCGATCATTCTCTTGTAGCTGATTACCACAGCCTTCTCAAACTTTACCTTCCCCAGGCCCACTTCGCACCAGAGCGAGTGCTCTTGGTTTTCGAAATCGTCAAGTGCGTTGTAAACTCCGTCGGTACGTTTTATAGTACGGTATAGGCTCTCAGGATATAGACCTTTCGTATCCTCGGCCTTGCAGTCGTCCATGAATTTGCGATACTTGCGGTGAAGTTCAGACGCATAGCATGTAGGACAGAGAAAGTTTGGCTCGGCGTGCGTGCATATGTTGACGTCTCTGCAGTTTGGTGCGCATCTTGATGACTCTTTCAGGTGGAGAAAGGAAGCTTGGACGGTGTGGCCGCAACACAGGATGTGGACTGGTAAGCCTTGACAAGGCTCAACGCGCTCTGCGATGAAGTTAGGAGCCATGGTGGTGTTGATGCTCGGCTAGGAAGTCTGTGTTTGGTACAACAAGGGCTTTCTGGTCTGTAGATCGTAAATTTGCGCGTGCGACTTAAATCTGCCCATTCAACTGCATTGTGAAGACAGCGTAAAGGATGACTGATACAATATCGTCAGGTGCCATTGTTACTTTGTTGCACAAAGCGCTGAAGGTCTCATTGACCGAAGTCAATCTTGCTATATTCGCATGACTCGTGCCGTACGGTAGTCCGAATACTATTGTAGTACCATGGTCGGAGAACTGTCAAAGAGTGAAAAAAACGAGCGTGAGGGAGTGGCCGCGGCACAGACGCGTTTCGGCAATGAAACTCTTTGGCGAACGAGAGCCTTGGGCATCGTCCTTCTTCGTGCGCGGCAACTAGTAGCGCATAGCCTCTGATAGACGATGGCAACCCCTTAACTTGCGATGATGAAAAGAAAGGATGATGGTGGTTGTGTGCAGAATCTTGGTAGACGGCTGGCTCCATCCTGCACGTGCGTCATGATCAAACTAAGCCTGTTTCGACTTAGTGTCGGATGGACTTAAGGCTGTCAGCTGGCTGCAGTGAGCCAAGACGTCACTTTCACAGAAACAATATCGAACGCGCAACAGCAAGCACCAGCTTTGTTCGTGGCTGAGCATCTTACGGTAATTGAATCGGTCTTGTCATCTTGTGCTTCCTGCCTCTATTGATGGAATAGTCACCTTGATTACTATCACCACTTACCATGGACCTGGCGCCTGCCAAGGAATTAACAGCACTAGTATAGGACTCCTGAGTCTTTTCTCAATTACATTGTAGGTGCGTGGACGTGCCGCCCGACACATCTCGGCCATCGTCATGTCAGCTCTTTGCATGCCAAGCTCAACGGCGAGAGAAGGGCTGAGGAAAACGTCTACCACGCCCTGGTCTCAACACAATATCTATGAGATGGGGTGACGCAAGTCATGGCAGTGCAAATTGCTGGAGGTCATGTTGATGAGATATAAGAACGGTGTCCTGCTACCTTGACGAGCATCACACACCAGCTTTCGCATTCACACCGACCGACCCAGCACCCACTCTATCATCTCAGCGTTCAGAAGATGACGCTGTTCACCGTCACATCTTTAGCCTTCGTGGCCCTTCTTCAGGTGCTTCCTGCTACGGCACAGAATATGTCGTATGGAGCCAACAACTTTTACCGCAGCGACAACGTCACAATGTGGCCGATCACCTTCCCCAGTCTCTACCAAATGACCGTCGCTGGCAATCTCTTTCTTCCCGACAACTTCGATCGCACCACCAATGCTTCTGCCATCGTTGTTGGCCACCCAATGGGAGCTGTCAAGGAACAGTCCGCCAACCTGTACGCTACGAAGATGGCTGAGCAGGGTTTCGTCACTATCTCAGTCGACGTTTCGTACTGGGGCGGCAGTGATGGCGAGCCGCGTAATGTCGTCCATCCCGACGTCTACGCCGAGACTTTCAGCGCCGCGGTTGATTACCTAGGCCTCCAGGACTACATCGACCGCGAGCGAATTGGTGCCATTGGTATCTGTGGCAGCGGCTCCTTCGTCCTGAGTGCCGCGAAGATCGACCCTCGCATCAAGGCCATCGCAACAGCAAGCATGTACGATATGGGCGCAGTATCTCGCAACGGGTTACAGCGAGCTCAGAGCCTGGAGCAACGCAAGCAGGTCATCGCGACCGCGGCGGCGCAGCGCTGGGTTGAAGCCAGTGGTGGAGAGACGGAGTACACCGGCGGAACTCTCCAAGCAGTCACCAACGAGACCGATCCAATAGGTCGCGAATTCTACGACTTCTATCGCACGTCTCGCGGCGAGTTCACACCGGCAGGCTCAGCGCCAAACCTCACCACCTACCCGACGCTTTCGAGCCAGACCAAGTTCATGAACTTTTACCCTTTCAGCGATCTTGATAGCATTTCTCCTCGCCCAGTGATGTTCATCTCCGGCGATATAGCACACTCTCGCGAGTTCAGTCAGGACGCATACGACGCTGCTGCGGAGCCGAAGGAGCTGGTCTGGATTCCGGGCGCTGGCCACGTCGACTTGTACGATCGCGTTGACTTGATTCCTTTCGACAGGCTCACCGCGTTCTTCCAGCAGAACCTGAGTGAGTAAGGGCGAGAGAGGCTATTGGCGGTGTCGGCAGAGCAGTCCAAGATAGCGTCTTAAGAACTTCGGTGAGAGGGAGAGGTGTCGCAGTAAGACCGGAACTGTTTCAAGAGCAATTTAATTACTTCCAGATCTTTCGCTCGTAGCATGCAACCATCCCAAGTTTGCCATCTTGTGCACCTTGATCGACGCGAGCTTGTGAAATGAGGATCCTAATCCAGCGAACGGGTTTGAATGTGACGGCAGTTGGCAAAAAGACAAGACTGGAGTATGTAACGAATAGGTGTTCGACTTCCCATCACGTCCATTCGGTCCGCGAAGCTGCATGTAAGAGACAAGGTCATAACGTACCATCAACACGGGTACTGCAATGACGCGTTAGCCTCTCTAGTGAAACACTTTGACAGCTCGCACACCAAGGTACAAACTTTCAACGCCCAGCGCGAAACAAGACTACATCATAGCCTGAGTTAAAAGCGTATACTCCCGAGTATACTTTGTTGAGATAACGCACTGTCAGGAAGATGGTTGAGGATTCGGCTAGTCATATCCTCCCGCCTGCGCGGGGCTGTCTGACCAAACCGCATTAGCCCGCCAATCCCTACCAAATTCCGTTAAACTTCAGGGTCAACAGATGGGAAGCGAAGAGCGGTAAGCAATTTAAGCATTTGCTTGGTGGCGCTTAAGATGCCGGCAGTGCCTTTGCATATTGCTTCGCTTGCTGCTTCTTTGTTTCCGACGTCGTGTTGTGGTATTTTCTGCGAGGAGAATTCGAAGCGATCGGCGAAATGGCGCTTCAAAACGACGTTGAAGCGTGCGAGAAAGACTTGCAGAAGGTTACGGTAAGCAGTCGCTCACATAGAACTTCCTGTGAGTTGCCGTCTAATACCGTCTACAGGGCTCTCAGCACTCCCAACACAGCAATGCGCCAGAGAATTACGACACCACAGCCGTTCGCTCCCTGGTCTGGAAACAGGATCTTCGCATCATCCCCCTCACAGCAGGAATCTACCTCCTCTGCTTCCTCGACAGATCAAACATCGGCAATGCCAAAACCCTCAATGCCAACGCCGGAGAATCCCTCCTGCAAGAAGCCAACATGACAAACTACCAGTACACCATTGCGCTCATGGTCTTTCTCGTTGCTTACGCCGTGTTCGAAGTACCCAGCAACTATTTCCTGAAGAAATTGAAACCGAGTCGCTGGATCGCTTTTCTCATGTTTGGTTGGGGCGCGTGCACTATTGGACTCGGGGGCGCGAATAACTATGCGACCGTTACCGCTGTGCGGTTCTTGCTGGGTATGTTCGAGGCGGGATTGTTTCCGGGGTTGGTGTACTATTTGACGTTTTGGTATCGTGCGCAAGAGAGGAGTATGCGTGTTGCTATCATCTTAGCGAGTGCGACGCTCGCGGGTGCTTTTGGAGGCGCGATTGCGTATGGCGTTGGGCATATGAAGCAGGTCCAGGGCCTTTCCGCATGGAGGTGAGTCTTGATGCATAGTACGCATGTGAGGGCGATACTGATTTCTACAAAGGTGGCTATTCATCCTCGAAGGCATTCCTTCCTGCGTCTCATCAGTAGCCGTGTGGCTCTTCCTACCCGACTATCCCGAGGAAGCTTCTTGGTTATCAACATCCGAACGTGAGCTAGCAGTCGCGCGGCTCGAGAAAGAAGGATCAAAAGGCGACGCGCCGTCGTTAAACTGGGAAACCGCAAAGGCTACCCTACTTGATGGCCGACTTTGGGTGCACTACATTATCTACTTCGGCATCTCTGCGCCGTTCAGCTCGCTTTCGCTCTTCACTCCGACGATTACTGCAGGGCTGGGCTACGAGAATCTCCAGGCACAACTCATGACAGTGCCACCGTACGCCGTCGCGTACGTGGTTTCCATCGTCACGGCTTGGTCATCGGACTACTTCAACGCCCGCGCATTGCACTCAGCTGTCCTGGCTACCATTGGAGCGATTGGTTTTCTGGCATCGGCCCTTCTTCCGGCTGAATCTTTCCATGCGCGCTATGGATGTCTGATTGTTGCAGCCAGTGGCGCTTTCTCTTGTATTCCCCCGCTGCTTGGCTGGTTGAGCAACAACATGCACAGCACCGCCGCTGCAGGGTTAGCCATTGCATTGAATGTCTCATGGGGGGCCCCAGGTCAGATTGTGGGTGTTTGGATCTACAAGGCGAACGAGAAGGAGCGAGGGTACCCTACTGGCCATTGGACTAACTTTGGAATGTTGGTTATGGTTGCTGTTGGCTGTGTTGGGTTGAGGTTTTACTACCAGTGGCGAAACAAGAGATTGCAACGCTTGGGACCGGATGCGACGGGAATGGACAGAGAGTTCAGTTATTGAAGATAATATATCATTTGGCAGAGGCTAGGAGCCTACACGTAGCGAGGCATGCCGAATCAGCACGCCTGATACCCACCTTAACTAGCTATGGGTTTTATGCATGCGACTCAACGCGCTCAACACCATTCTGCTTCTCATACTGCATCGCAGTCTCCGTCAAAGCAGGCTTCAGTGAATCGGCTGCTTCGCGCGTGAACTTGCGTGCGGAAACCTTGTGCTCAAACATGAGATCGAGTTCAGAGTAGGTGAAGCCCTTTGCCTCAGGAAGACGGAAGTATCCCCAAAGGATGAATAGAAGCGCAATTCCTGCCCAGAAGAAGCCACCCTTGGCGCCCCAGTTCCAGTCGTTCTTGCCAACCATCTTTGGCATGATAGTGTTTGTGACGAAGACGATGGAGTTGTAGGAAGCACGAGAGAGTGCGACGGTCTTAACACGAAGGCGTGATGAGGGGATCTCGGCGGCGAGGGAGTAGCAGATAGGGCCCAGAGAGAGCTGGTTGTGTTAGCTTTGGTTTGATGGCTTGATGAGTAGAGTGACTTACCTGGAAGCAGAAGATCATCAAAATGATCAAAACACCTCCAGCAAGACTGGCGCTCTTGTTGGTCGGTGGTGCAAGGCCGATGAAACCGACGATCATAAGAATGATGAAGATGGCAGTCAATCCAACGAGATAGATAGGTCGTCGACCAAAGCGTGTCATGATCCACCAGGCAATGAAGCATCCAACGAGACCCAGGCAGTCTTGTCCGATAGTAAGATGGAAAGAATCATCCTGGCTGAGGCCTACACCTTGCATGAACTGGGTCCTGGTAAAGTTAGTATTTGTTTGTTTGGTCAATGGTAAGGAAGCTTACCCAAAGCCCATGAAGGGAACACCGCAAAGAGCTTGAGTGATGAAAGCCATGGCTGAGACCTCGGTACGGTGTAGATCGCTTCCTTGGAACAAATGCCAGTAGTTGGTTCCAGAGCCGACTTGCTTCTCGTACTGATCGGTGACAACCATCATCTCCACGTGCGCATCAAGGTCGAACTCGATGCCTTCTGTGGGTGTCGTGATTGCGCGAATAGCTTGTTTGGCCTCGTCGATGCGACCTTGTCGGACCAACCACCATGGCGATTCTGGTGCGAGGAAAGTAGCCGCGATGATAGGAATGGGCCAGATCCACTGGAGGGCAAAAGGGACGCGGTAGCCCCATTGCGTTGTGTTCTGCATGAGCCCAGTAAGGATTCCAGTGGATAGAAGACCGCCGATAACCCAGCACATGTTGATCCACGAAGTCATGTATCCTCTGAGATGCATAGGGCAGAGATCCGCAGCATACGAGATCGCAAGTGTCTGGAAAACACCCCATGGAAGACCCTGGATGATACCTCCGACAAGGAACATCTCCAGTCCTGTAGAGAAGAACGGGATGAAGATGGCAGCAGTCATGAACAGCATGCTAGCAATCATGGTCTTCTTGTATCCGATCCATTCTGTGATGTAGCCGTTGATGATGAGACCGAGAATGCATCCGACCTATGCGTGTGTTAGACTTCGTTGCGTCGACTTCCTCGACGAGGATCTGCGTACCTGTGTTCCATTGAGAATGATAGTCTGCCACCTCGCAGACACAAGCTTGTTGCCATCAGCATCGACTTCATCGCCGAACCTGTTGCGAAAGGGCTGGAAGGCGAAAAACTTGTTCATGAGACTGGTATCGTATCCCTCCATAACCACGCAGAGCGAGATGACGAAAGAAAAGACGATGGCCTTCCACCAGAATCTCAAAGACTGTCGGACGGACATGTTGTGCTCATTGTTGATAGCCGCGTTGGTGTCGTCTCCGGTGTTGTGTCCTTGTGTAGATGTGACCCTTTCGGCGGCCACATGGCCAGTAGTCTTCTCTACCGAAGCCATGTCGAATTAAGTCCAGAGTATGCCCGGTATCAGAGATGGGTCTTCGCGGTTGATGAGTTGAGAAGATGCAGCTCAACCACACGTACGAATCTGCGGTCTATATAGCCCCCAGCGCTCTGGTATGTATGCCTGACAGACGAACCCATTACAGGAGTCAAATGGCTAGCCCGAGAGCTTGGGAAGCTAAGCCCCGGTAATGACCGAAATGGGGCAAGACCGCGGTGAGTTGCGGGGAAAGACATTCAGGACAAGAGTGCCCATGGGGAGACGAGGCGTCAAGTGCGCAAATGAAGCCAATCAGAACACCGACGAGGTTTGCCCGGGCACCAGATCGCGAGAGAATTTCAGGAAAGCTTTCCTCGAAGTTTTCCGCCGCTAACATCGTCACTTGGCGGACCCGTCCCGGCTCTAGTGTTGCAAAGAAAGCCAGGGCCCAGAAGTAGGACTTGCAGCAACCCTTCTCTTCTCATTATACGCTATAACATAAAATATAAGCTCTCATAAGACAACGGAAGTAACCTAATGCTCTGAGTAGGACGAGATCCTCGATTGAGCCCACCAGAGTGTTTTTGTTGTTGTTTTGTGAGAACTGCCCGCTGTCAGCCCGAGCGTGTTTCCAACTTCCGATGCCACGCTAGCCGAGGCAATGTGTCTGCACGAGCCATACAGACCCGCCTTTTAACCCGTGGCGTCGAGTTTTCCAGGTGAGGTTTCCGCTCTCATCCACCTGCATTCCATCCCCAGGTTCTTGCGCAAGTCCGACAAGCTATGCGCAAACCATCTGCCTGCCAAGCGTGCCGGTAAGCATCTTGCACGTTGTCAGTGGAGGCGATTGCCCGCTAATTCGGTTGGAAGAACCCGACGCCGAAAATGCATCTACCCAACAGGCGGGCTCGCAACGGCATGCGAGTATTGCCTGTCACATGGTCTGCAGTGTCTCCAAGGTCCACCAGAGGGAGGTTACTATGCCAAACGCCGGGCTAGACTTCAAGAATTGAGTCAGGTACATCGAGCGTTCTTGGAACAAGCGGAAGCACTGCCAAATCAAGGTCATGGCGACCTGCCTCCGACTGCCTTGAGACGAGCGCTGCTGGAGCTATACTTCGACTACATCCACGACCAGTTCCACTCTATGTACCACAAGGTTTCGTTCATGGACGATGTCGCAAACGACCGAGTACCATCTATCGTGCTTTTCGCCATATGTGCGCTTGCTGCCAGGTTCTCAACTGACAGCTTCTTCGACGGCACAGATCCGAGAGAAAGAGGCGAGATCTACCGCAAGGCAAGCGAGAGTTTGTTCAATATGCGCGACCTCACGCCTACTACAATTCAAGCATGCGTCTTGCTGGGAGCATACGCTGCCGCGGGTGGTGAGACTGATGTCGAAAACATGTACTACAGCACGGGTGGACGACTTTGTCTGGCCCTCGATCTACCAAATCGACCCGTCACCAGTCTCGTAGAGCGAGAAGTAAACATTAGAACTTGGTGGACACTGTGCATGGTAGACGTTTGGTCATCTACTGCGGTGAGACTACCGCGAATCATGCCGTTTGACACTGCTGTGCCTCTCCCAGTTGATGAGATACCGTTCTCTATGATGAACGACGGAGATTTCAGCGACCAAACGCATGGCATGACCTCACCTCTTCTCGCGGAGATGGTCAAGCTCAATCGGATTCTGGCGAGAATCATCGACTTCAATCGACTGTGTGTGTCAGAACATCTCGAAGGCCTCCCGCTGGAGAAAGGGATACGTGAACTTTCCCGCGATCTCGATATTTGGCTGGAGGAAGTTCCGCATCATATGCGTGACACGCCAGCGAACCTAACAGCGTTCGCGTCGCGTGGCCTTGGGCGTATGTTTGTAGCTGTATATCTCGGCTACTACCACTACGGGCTGCTCCTGAACTATCAGTTCTTGTCGTCTTCCATCGAAGCATCACCCGACTCCGGACGATATGCTGATGCCTGCAAGCAACATGCCGCCCGACTTTGCGCCCTCGTCTACCGCTCACAGTCCACGCCCGGGAGCGAAGTCTTGTATCCGGCAGTTTCGCATATCCTCGTCGTTGCTTCTACCGTTCAGATCCACACCTTACTCTTTTCTGGCGACGAAAGCCAGATACGCATCTCAAAGACCAGATTGGAACGCAACTTCGAGATACTCCTGCGGCTGAAGACCTATTGGCCGAGTGTCGACGGTGCAATGAGTCGTCTTCGGGCGTTCCACCAGACCTGTCTCCGAAGCAAAGAGACCAGCTTTGTGCTTGATCGGTGGCTGTTGCGCTTCCTAGTCCAATTTGCCCCTCATATGGAGCTCGAGCCAAGGGATAACGACCCCGAGTACGAAGCGTTGCTCGCGTTGAGCAGGCAATCCCCATTGTCGTGCTATTCAGGGCTATCCATGTGATCATGCGCGACCGATATTCTAAGCAGCACGCTGGGAATCCTGGAGAACGAGGATCGCAGCGAAATGGTTCATTACGGCTCAAGCTGGTGGAGCCGAAATTAGCGTCGCGAAACTTACGAGCTTTCCTGGAATGTGGAGCCCCAAGAGAGCCAGGGCTTGGCAACAGGGTCCGTCGCTCACGTTTGCGGTCCACTCGACGTAGTACACACGTGTAAAGCTGTTTAAGAGTCTGAATTGTGCTTCTTTGCTCGAAGCAATAATCATCTTCGCACTCCATTCATGGCTTTATCACGCAGCACCATTCTCGTGGTCACGACGCTGCTGGGCAGCGCGACAGCGATCAACAATGGCCTCGCTACTACCCCTCCAATGGGCTGGGTAAGACGCTTGTCTCCTACTCTTGAACTGTCATTAACAGGATCAGAACAACTGGAACGCTTTTGGATGCGACGTCTCCGAAGACCTGCTCCTCACAACCTCTGCACAGATTGTGAGCTTAGGCTTGCGAGACTTGGGTTACAACTATGTCGTACTGGACGACTGTTGGCAGAACCCAAAAGGTAGAGACAAGAAGGGAAAGCTTCAACCGGCTCTCGACAAGTTTCCCAACGGATTGAATTCCATCTCAGATCATCTCCATAGCCAAGACTTCAAGTTTGGCATGTACAGCAGCGCTGGTGAGATGACATGTGCGAGATTTGGTAAGACGAATGAAGCATATATACTTCTCACAGTATGCTGATATTCATCAGAGGGATCATTAGACCACGAAGTCGACGATGCAGAGAGCTTTGCAAGCTGGGGTGTCGACATGTTGAAGTACGACAGCTGCTACCACATGGGTCGTGTTGGCACACCGTCAGTGTCGTTCAACCGCTTCAAGGTTATGTCGGATGCCTTGAGATCAACAGGAAGGAATATTCTCCTCAATCTGTGCAATTGGGGAGAGGATCTTGTCCACACGGTAAGCACCATGAGATACCTATCCGCTGTGACGTTCAACGACTTACCATCAACAGTGGGGTATGAGTATCTCTAACAGCTGGCGCATCACCGGTGACATCTACGACTCTTTCTCTCGCCCTGATGATTTATGCGGATGCAACACCGTGTCGCCAGGCGACGTAAACTGCGTAGCACCAGGCACACATTGCTCCGTTCTCTTCATTCTCAACAAAGTTGCGCCCTTTGCTGACCGCAGCATCCCCGGTGGGTGGAGCGATCTGGACATGCTCGAGGTCGGTCAAGGTGGCATGACCGACGAAGAGTACAAAGCACATTTCGCTCTGTGGGCCGCCATCAAGTCTCCACTATTCCTCGGAAACGACCTGCGCAACATGCCAGCTTCCGCTCTCACCATCATCAACAACCCAGCCATTATTGCGCTGAGCCAGGATCCCCATGGACGTAGCGTAACGCGTGTTCGAAGGGACACGGAAGGTGTAGCGAAAGACGAGTGGGGTATGGGCGAGACGCACGTGTGGGCAGGTCATCTACAGAACGGCGATGAAGTCGTGATCTTGCTCAACGCTGGTGGTGAAGACATGGAGATGAGCGTCTCTCTCGCTGAGATCTTCATTCCGTACGGACCTGGTGGATCAGCGCCCCACGTCAAATACGACTGGGCGATCCATGATCTCTGGGCTCATCGCATGTCGGAATCAACGGCGGAAGAGCTCCTCGCAGCGGCCTCGCACACGGAGAGAGAATCGATCCTGTCAAAGGCCAACTGGTATAACGCCACCGAGATCCCTTACGCCAAGGGTCTTGTTCAGGAGGACCCGCGACTGTTTGGCGAGAAGATCGGCGTTGTTGAGGCTGGTGGTAGGCTCAAGGCAGACGTCAAGAGTCACGCTGCTCGCGTCTTCCGACTACGAAGAATTGCGCCAGAGGACGATCAGTTCCAGGCGAAGAGTATTGCGAGAGAAGACGGTAACGAGAGGGATGAATTGTAATGATAAGGCAATTAGTAAGGTAGATTTGGTGGGACGAGAGTTAGCCTACCTTGATGGAAAACGGAAAGGGACATAGGTTCTCAGAGTTGCGATACTTATCATTCGCAATGAATCGTGTAAATTGTGGAAGGTGTGGTTGGCTCGTTATCTCCAGGTCATCATAGTACCATGGAACGGAGTGGATGGAACCAGAGAATCAACTTCTGGATTTTTCGAATATATAGCGATCTCGCTTTTCCTCCCTCCTACACATTCTAAACCTTACATAGGCTGTCTCTACGTTCTTTATCACACACAGCAATCATATCTACACCAGACGCAGCCATGACCAAAAACGCAAAGGTCATATCCCCAGCTCAAGCCACATCCGCATCCCAGACGACATCATGGGAATGGTCAGCTCCATACTTCGTTAAGCGAGCGCAGGAAGTTCAGGCCAGATTAGATCTCCATCGGCAGACTATGAATAATCTTCAGAACAAGTATAAAAACCTTCAGAACCAGAACAAAAGCCTTCAGAACCAGAATGAGAACCAGAAGAAGGATTACGAACGCGAGATGAACGGGTGTTACGGGTCGTTTGTGGTCATTGTGCTCCTCTTCGCCGCCGTCTTGATATGTGGCTTTCTGCCATCTTCTTCGCCCGAACGCTGTTCATGTGCGCTAGAAGCGAAAGCTGTCCAGATGACGGCCACGCCTACTACGGTCACGGTTACGCTACCCGTAGCAACCAACGCTGTGCCGACAATCAAGGCCGCATCAGCTTTCGACATGACCCCCACGGCTGATCAAGTAAGCTTTGGTCTTCGATCATACATCTATCACAAGCTCTTGACATGCTAACGCCTCAATAGGTATGGACTGGTCTGACACAAGGACAAGTATTGTCCATCATCCTCGAAAACAATAAGATCCAAGCTCGATACAACGAAAACTATAGGGCCTGGAGCAAGGAAGAAGACCGGAGGTTCTGGTCCTCGTATAGTTCGAAATATTCGTTAACACCAACTCCAACACCTGCTCGATTCAGCGAAAACTATAGGGCCTGGAGCAAAAAAGAAAGTGATGGGTGGTGGGAACAGTGGAATGCCCAGGAGGCCCAGAGAAAATCAGAAGATCGAAAGTTCTGGTCTTCGTGGAGTTCGCAATATTCGATAACTCCCACTCCGACGCCTACTCGTCAGGCTACCGCGTAGGTGCTCTTTGAAGGCCACTACAAGCATACGAGATTGCTTCCATACAATCGCTTGATGGCCATATCTCCGAGCCAGTCTTGAGACCTCGTTAGGATTGGGTTTCGTATCGTATACGACGTCTTTAGACAATTAGCAAGGCGCCTACAAAGAAGGCAGCGCTTCGCAATTTGTATTTCATACTCTAGATATCAGTATACGTTATCTTGCTATCTCTTAAACTATTAAAGCGCAGTACTGTAAATCCTCCTAGAGTAGACCTTACTACATCTTCTAGCTTATTTCTCTAGCATAGTATGCTCTAGAGTCTCTCCTAAACTTGTCTAGCTTGCAAGTTACCTTAACTTGTATTCTACACAAGGCTAGATTCTATCGGTAACACTAAATTAACAACACTATAACTTCTTCTAGAAGAGCCGGTTTACTAAAGTATCTAATGTTAGATCTCGCTTAGAAGTATACTATATATTATCCGCCTTGTCTACTCTCTCTTCTCTTCTCTTCTCTTAGCGTTGTAATTTCCTATCTCTACACTATTAACTAATTATCTTTTATTTCTTACTATATACTTCTACTATATATTAATATATATATCTATATTTATTATCTCTATCTCTATTATAAACACTCTTCTCTCTTCTCTAGTATACTACCTTAGGCTAGTTAGCTACTCTATTCTACTAGCTTACTATATAAATAATCTAAAAGAGCGCGAGCTATTAAGAGTAGAAGAACTATATATAGTAGAGATTAGTTAGATAGTTAATACTATAAACTATTAGAGAAACGCAGTTAAATTAATTATAGCAAGATAGTCTACTATAGACCTAGTTTACTACCTAACTATTCTAGGCGTAAGCTAAAATAATAGTAAAAGTAAGAAAGTAAAGGCTATAGTTAGTATAGTAAATACTATACAGACTAGCTAGATTAGCTAGTTCTCTTAGGTCTAAGGCTATATTAAGAAAGAGACTAATTAGCATAATCTCTAAGCTTATATTAATAATCTTAACTAATTTTAACTTCTACTTAAGGTACTATAGTAAAATAAGACTACCTTATAGAGAACTAACTACTAAGCTCTATAACGCGTATATAAGAAAGTAGTTAGAATCTATATTAAGTATATCTAGACAAGTAACCTATAAGTCTATATTAATAACCTAAGTTATATAAGTGCAACCTTAGAATAACTAAGCTTAGTGCCTATAATATAGTTAGATCTTAGTAAAGAAGATTTTCTAAGAGAGGTAGAAATCTATAAGTAGATACTTAGAGACTAACTTAATAACATTAAAAACCTAGAGAAATATAATATAGTTAGTGTGTAATAGAGTAATATTCTAGAGTAGACTCTAGCTACTATAAAACTATCTAAGTTGTTTAGAGTTTGTAATAGGTAAAAAGCTAGAAGGCTTAAGTATATAATTAAGAAAGTTATTAGCACTATCTATACTATACTAATATATAAGATAATAGACCTAAACAAGTAAGAGCCTATAAGAACTACTAACAAGTAGTAGAACCTTCTAGAAAATTAGTCTAATAACACTAAACTGTAGCGCGCACTACAGAGAGATTAATAGAGCTAGAATAGTAATATTAATTAATAAGAGGCTGTTAGAGGCCTATTATCTAAAGTTTAGCTAATAAAGCTTTATTATTACTAATTCCCTGCGAAGCAGGGTCTTTTAGCCAAACGAGACTAGATAGAAGCGTAAGAGCTAATTAGTCGAGCCTGCGAGACCTAATTAGCTGTTTAAGATAACGTAATCGCGGAGGTCAGCGTTTCGGCGCGGCAGCGCGCGCCGCTAAGGAATATCAAAACTTTAGACAGCCCGGAGGGTCAGCGTTTTGCGGGCTTGCTGCGGCAACCCAACGCGACGCGTCGCGTCAACCTGCCGCGCAACACTAGACGGGAGCAAAACAATCGCGCGCGCAGCCGCGCAACACTAGACAGGAGTAACACAATCGCGCGCGCAGCGTAAGGTGCGACGCGATCGCTTACGCAAGTAAGCGTGCGGCTAATAAGATCCTGCGCTAGCTAGCTAGCGTAGTAGGCCCTAAGGGCCCGTTGCGCTAGCCTCGCAGGGTCTTTTAGCACTACACGTAGAGCTATTTCTAGATTTTATTATAATATAAGATAATAATAATTAAAAAATATTAAATATTAAAGAAGACACTTACATAGCAGCTATTATAGAGAATAGAAGTTACCTCTAACTACTTTTATGTATATCCTAGTAAGGTATACTAAGAATTAGACGTACGTAGGCCTATAATAGGTAAATATTCTATATCTTTTACTATAAGTACACTTAGAAGGTGCAGCGCAGTAATATATATATATATTACTACTTAAAGCTACCTCTAACGTCTCTACTATTATTATTATTATAGCTATTAATATTCTTAGTGCTGCTATTACTACCTTTCTACGTTAGAATAGAAGGTACTACCTATTCCTTAACAAGCTTAGATTTAAATATTAATTACCTCTAACATCGCTTAGTTAGCTATTACGTATAATACAATATTAGAGAGCTATTAGAGGTAGACAACTATCTTAGAAATATTAGGTATTCTTATGCTATTTTACCCCTAACTACCCCCCTACGGTGCGCGTAACGGAAGTACAGCGTGACATAATGAATCTCATTACGGCAAGGTACTCGCAGGTCGATCCGATACATTACAGCACAATCCTCGGAGGCGGGCAGGCGAATGCCGGACAACTCGAGAGTGCCATCAAAAAGTCCGTAGATACCATCACCTCTAACTGCATTGGAACTTCCTCGTGGCTTCAAGCTTTTGTCGAGGGCGAGACATGCTGGTCGGATTACCAAGTTATCATCAACAACCTCCACCGCATGTCAAAGCTCTTGAAGCTAATCCCGGAGGGCGAGACGCCTCAGAACCGCGCATTACGCCTCACGCGCCGCGAAGCATACAAGAAAGCTCTGCGCGCCCATCAAGAACACGTCCGTCTGGGGGTAGAGGCGGAAATTCAGACAGCAGAAGATGCGTTGGAAGACTTGTCCACGAAGGACGGCGTGACCCAAGTTGAACTCCAGGGCGCTCGGGACGAGCTCGCTTCCCTCCGCGGTCATCGAGAGAGCACCACACCCACGACCTGGTGGACATCTTAACTTGGTCCAGATAGGGAGACAGGGGCGGCCCCGTCGCTCGCCGCGCCCTTCGCCGAGCGGACAAGAAAGCGATCCGAGGTCACATGCGCATAACCACCCTGGGGCAGAAGCTGAGCCAGCGGAGGTAGAAGACGAGTTTGATGACGCGGTGAACAAGGGCGAATCTACCCAGACCGAGCTTCAGGCGATGCAAGATCGTATCCAAAACCTTATGGAATACGAGGGCGGCCTAACCGCTACCAACGACGGCCTACGCCGTAACCTCGCAGAAGTGCCCGCAGTCGAACCATACTACTCACAAATGGCAAACAACGCTAAGTGTACTTTCTGGGAGGCCAGGTGGAGCCAGGACGTATTCTTGTCGTTTCTCTGTGAGTTCCAAGGTGTGATGCACTACAAGTAAGTCCGAGGCCGATGTGTCACTAACGAAGTCTCCAGGCGGTTAGTACTGTCAAGCAGGGAGCCGACAAAGGCTTGGTGACACCGCATATCTTCTGTCTCGTCGAACCGTGAGGACGACGTCGCTCTCAAGCTCTCTCAAAAACTCCAGTACAAGCAAGTGCGCAGCCGACAACGACTCAGTGCCAATCTCTCACTTTTGGCACCTCACATTCTGGAATCGACGTTGCTCTCACTAGAGAAATACAAGCTTCCTTCAATTCGTCGACTTATTCCGACTATAATATCGGTCAGGGCTTCAGTGTTCACTACTCTCAACATCACTCGACGCTCGCCCTATCTCCGAGCTCTTCACTATTCAGGGCGAGCTTGCGGCAACATGAGGTAACCTTGACCGTCGTGGGCGGGGTGAGGAGGCAAGGTACTAGAGGGCAATCGCCGTTCTTGTACTTCCTTGGCCGGAGATTACATCCATGCCCAGGTGGTCTTCTACAAGCTTGCGATCTTCTCTAGAGTTATTTAACTATCACGAAACTACTTGTTGTACTTGCTTGTAGCGACAAGATCAGTCAGGATGCGTTATAATTATCCGCGGGCGCGCTGTATGCTTGTGGCTCAGCGATGATATCTCAAACCACCCCGCTCAACGGCATTGCCGCCTCTACGCACCCTCGTGAGGTTTCAACTCCAGTCGCATCCAGTCAAAATCGTCTTCCGCCGCATTAGCTACTCGCCGTAGCTTGATTGGTTGGTTGCACTTCACAACACCCCTCGCGACGAAGGACTCGGGCCGGATCTACCAAATCACTTCCCAAACAAGCTCATGCTATCTGCCGCTATACAAGACTCGTTTTGCTGCGACTTGCACCTTCACCTCGGTAACCTGTCACTAAGTCGCCGCCATCCATGGCGACATACAATGTCTTCGCGCTCTTTGTCTTTGAGGGTCATGGCGGCCGTGTGCTCGATGCGTAAGTCTTTCAGCTTCTTGGCTTCGTCCTTCTTTTGCTGAGTGACCAGGTCGAACTGTTCACGAAGCTCACCCATTGCATCATCATCAGTGACGTCTTCGCCGCCTTCTTCTTGCTAGCGGTCCCCTCGACTCGTAACTTGGTGAGAGTGTGGTGGAACGCCTCCTCTGTCAGATTTGCCATCTTGGTTCTCAGTTGCTTGCTCAAATTATCATGGTGCAAAGCCATCTTGGCCTTGTTCTTCTTCTCCTTCTTTCGGGGTTTTGTGACATATGCCTCGAAAGAGTATGGCGACTCATATGCCTATACTGTGACCTCTTGGTCCTGCCCAATCCTGTTCACTCGGGCGATCGCCTGCGCGTTAGCCGCACAGGATACATACTACTTTGTTTGTGACTAACTGCTAGTTGTGTTGGAGGGCTCTCTCACTCGGGCGGTAGCCTGTACCCTGGTAGCGGTGGTTTCTGGCCAGATGCGCCAGGTCGAGGGTTAGGACCTGCACTGCCTGGTTGGTTGTGAGGCCTCGGCCGCCACCAGACGCCTCTGGTATACGTGATTGATCCTGGAGATGCTCATGAGAGTTCGGATGGCCGTTACAACTACAACGAGACTTCGCTTCGGTCAGACTCTCCATCTTTCTCCTCAACCACTCACTCACCCCCTTCTGATCCAATGTCAAAACAGCCTTCTTCTTCTTCCTCTCCCGTTCTCTCTCGACGTAGCGCTCGATTGAGTTGTGTGCATAAAACGTCCAGATAGTCACCCGACGGTTCTGACCGATCCGGTTGATCCTCGAGGCGGCCTGGGCATCAATGGCAGGGTTCCACCTTGGGGTCAGGATGAACATATTTGCAGCCTCTACCAGGGCCAAGCCCAAACCAAAGCACTGAATGGTCGCCAGCATGACCCCGACTTTGTCTTTGGGGTCGTTGAATCGCTCGCGCACAGCGTCCCTCTCCTTCAAGTTCATGTGGCCGTTGTGTTCGAGGAATTCGATGCCCGTTGCTTTTAAGGCGTTGGACACAACGTTCAGAGTCTGGAGAAATTCATCAGTGATGATGATTTTCCTCTCGCTCTTAGACTCGTGCAGGGAGAGAATCTGCTCGATCAGCTTGTCAACCCGTGTTGAGTGCCAATCCTTCTCTATCACCTTCAACAGTTGATTGCGGGACTCTTTCGCGGTCATGTTAATGGAGGCTTCCTCTTTGGTAATACTCTCCCACTCCTCGACGTCGACGCTTGCTGGCCACGTCCAAATACTGGAGGAACTCATCTGCTACGATGATCTTGCCCTCCGTGGCCAGCTCATAGGTGGGGAAGAGTTGCTACATCAGCGTGTTGATGCGTACAGAGCTCCAGTCGTCCTTGGTTTCATCCAAGAGACGCTGTCGCGCCTGCTTGTGGCTCATATCGAGGAAGATGTTCTCGTGAGCCAGACCCATGGTCGCCTCTAAGTCAAGGCCGAGCCCCTCAAAGTCTTTAGCACCCCTGTCCCCAAACATAAAGTCTCCACACTTGGGATGAACGACCTTTATGCGTGCTTTGAGGACCTCTGGCAAGGTTCGCTCCCCCGTCATTTTCTCCAAGGCTTTGCCTCCTCCGCGCTTCCTCTTATCCCATGGAGAGACCCTACGATCCATGTGATGTCAATCGAGAGATCTGATGAGCCCTCCTTGCCGGAGTGGCGAGAAGGAAAGCAAAGAGAGTAGACGTAGGTGAGTAGTGGAGCGAGTAAGGCACAAAGTGCGTTTGTTCGCCTGAAATTTGGTTCATGGTCGCTTCATGTCCCCTTGAGTTCTGGGCTTCTGGGGGCCGGATGCGCTTCTTTTCCCTTACGACTTTGCCGATGTATGCCTCTGGCACCTCTTCCAGTCGCCGATAGCTCCGCGTCTAGAACATGGAAGTCTTCCGCCTCTCTACCACCGTCCTTCGTACATTGTGGCTCATGTCCACGTAGCCTTCGCCCTCGTGGTTCGCGATAGCGTTGTGCGTTGCAACGTTATCGAATGCGGTAAAGGAGACGGCGACGGTACCGCTACTCGACGTCTACCACTAGTACTTTCCCGCTGTCCCAAAGCTCTTACGCAAGAGGTAGCTTGTCAGCGTCTCCCAGCCCCCAGGTCCCACCGGCCGCCCGGTTGGATACGGAAGACGGAGACAGTCCTGGCGTCCACACCTCAGCGACCACACTTGGGATGAACGACCTTCATGCGTGCTTTGAAGACTTCTGGCAGGGCCCAGGTGCGGAGTTTGTCGGACCACCGCTCTCTGTCCTTACCCCCCTTCTGCTTACCCCAAATGGGTCTTGTCTCTTTCTCGTGTGCTGCCTCGGCCGTCGATAGTGTCAATCTCGTGTTTCTCACGCTGTGTCGCGAGAATTCAACGAGGCGACCTCCATTGAAGGTGTCGTCGATTACTAGAGGGAAGAAGCAGGCCCGTAGGCTCGTGGAGAGGATCGCGTTTCTTATGCCCCTGAGGGTCTTCGCCTTGGTCTTCTTCGGCTTCTTGGTGACGAAGTAGTCGTTGAACGCCTTTGGGTCATCCCGTGCATGGCTCGATGTTCAGCCATTTCCTGAGGGTTTTGAACCTCATCGTAATCGTTTTCGAGGGGAGTTCCAGTGAGACCCATGCTCTTCTCAGCCTGTAGTGCGCACATCGCTTTTGAGGTTTCAGGCCGCGATCGGCTGGCCTTACTTATCTCATCGGCGATGATGATAGCGTACCGAAGCAGCATGCTGGTGTAGCTACCCCGAATGGGTAGAGGCCCCTTGTACCCCTTGTTCTTTTTGCCGTCAAGTACGTCCGCGATTTCCTTGAACCTGGTGTATTCTTGTCGTACATTGTCGTGTGTGTAGTGTCCCCGCACCGTCATGAGCCAACTTTGTTTGTTGTTTCCATCGTTTGTATTCCTCTCGCGGAACTTCTCACATGGCATAGCATTCACATGCGGGGTCGCGAGGCCGAGCAGACCTCATTTGAGGGTGGCGATGACCCTGACCCCGAAACCGAGGGGTGACTTCGACCTCTGGCAACATGCGGTTCAATGCACTGGATATATGGATACCAAGAGTACCACTCATTAGGCCGAACACGTCCGGGGTGGTGATGTCAACGATGGCTCATGCCACAAGAGTGAGAGTGAAGATAATTACGACAATGAAGACGGCAATCTCGCGAATCTCAAGGATGATTCCGAGGATGAAGAGGTTAGCCCGGATGTTAAGGATGTTCTGAACGATATTTCAGACACTGAAGAAACCATGGTGAAGCAGGCTTTTGCCTTGTTCCGCCAAGGACGCCACACACCCGCCAGCAACACATCCTTGCCAGAGTACCTCACGGAAAATCCACAAGTAGTGGGCACGAATACCCAGCAGACACGGCGCCGACATCGTCCCGCAGCGTATGGCTACCCCGTACCACAACAACTCCAAACCCTACAACTCCGTGGGATGACGCACCAGCGGTAGCTCACCGGCCTATGCTTCGCAGTTCACACTGAGATGTTACCAATAGAGTGGCAATGCTATCTTCAGAGGGATGCTTGTGCAGCTCTAGCTCGAACTTCGTGGTGTGGAAGACATGGCGGAATATAACGTCAGAGACGTGGTGGGCGACAGTGACAAAGGATAGGTGGATAAATTCCACAAGCCAGGAGGTGAGACCCTACTATCACACTTCGCACTGTCGGATCAAACCTCATCGCGAAGACTACATACAGCAGCCACACGGCTTATCGAGTCGGCGCAAGGGACCGCGAAGGCGACGTAACTCCTACAGAACGACATTGTCTCACAACTCATTGAATAAAACCCGATCGTCGAACCTCCTCAACACCTACTCCTCACATGGCGGAGATGCGAAACTTCCACGTGCCAGGCGCCGACGATGGTTTGCCCAGAGGCGAAGACGAAACTTCAAGCCGGGGTATCGAATTCTCGGTCATATTGTACTACATGGGGTGGGGAGAGTTCCCCGATGAACACAAGCATGGATATTGGGCCACCGCGTCGGATGGCACACCAGCGGCGAGACCCAAGGGCATGACGCCGAAGGATTATCCGATTCACTCCACGTCAACGAGTCGACTTCTTCGTGATGAGAGGAGGCAGACGGAGTTAGACAAGCGGGAAGAAGAGTACCAGATTTTGACAGCGGAAGCACGGAAGGCGCCTGATCTGCCTGAATAAGATCCGGGTGCGCTATGCGTGGTGAGTTCGTTTCAAATTGCGGTGGGAAATCCATCATCGCCACCCGTTGATACTCTCAATCATACTCTTGAACTCCATCCTGTTCTCAGGAATGTACTTAGAGATACTCGCAGGAGAAGCTAGGAGGTCGATGTAGACTCCTAGAGGGTTTTGGGGGCAGAGAGACGTCGGCCAGAAAGTGATGGTCGTCTCGTAGCAGACTTACCACTCGATGTCGACGGCGTCTTCGATATAGAGGTGCTTTCCATCGGCGTCTCTTATCTCGAGGTTCCTGCAAAGCTCTTCGGTTATGATATGATCCTGCATTTGATGCTGAAGTTTGTATGCCATGTGTTGGAAATCGATGTCCTTGCAGCTCGTAATCGAGTGCAGAAGGTGAAGTTCAGTGCTGTGCGATCTGTTCGTAGTCTCCTCGCCCTAGTTTAGTTGTTATTCTGGCGCACGACGAGGTAGGTGTTAGCTTCTCGCACTCTCTGTATCTGAAGAAGAACGGGAGGAGCAGGCGGTGACACGGAATTGGGGGAGCTGGTGATTTCCTTCACTAAACGACCACGGCTCGGTAGGGAGCAGTCCTTCCTGGTACTGCTGAAGGGTTCTTACTTGATCCCGGAGACCCTGAAGCGCCGTGGTCGAGTGATCTGTCTGGCGAGATGCGGTATCAAGAGCTTCTTCTGCTTCGGCGAGTTGGGCTACAGCTCCCTGACGAATGTGATCCTGGTGCACCCTAAGGCATTTCTTGTACTTCCTGCGAAGGGCAAGACGGTTGGTACGGTGTGCTGCGGTTTCGTTGTCGGGAACCAACTTAAGCAGTTTGATGGTGTGGTTTATTATGTTCAGCTTGGCTTGCAGGTCATGCTAAACTATCTGTCGCTGGACAACTCGTCCTGAGGCATTGTTAGTTTTGAAAGAGGGGGGTGGAGCGGGAGACATTAGGTTCATGGCTAGTATTGCGAGAGGTGACGACAGAGCGGGAGGCCGACATTGATACGCAGAAGGAAGGACGGCATGCTCATACCGCAGCGGGAAGGCTTCAACTCAGCCTCTCTCCTACGCTGACGTAGGCATAGTTCCACGAATTCTTCAAATCTATCTTATCATATGCCCTGCCTGTGTGTGGCTGAACCAAAAGTCGACCCCAACCATTCCAAATGCGCGGTTGTGCTATGATAATGTGCGCATTTTGGGTGGGTGGTGTGGCAGTGTCAGCCATAGTTGCTCCCTTGGCAAAGCCTCGCACTTGCTCTACAAAACCCGCCGCGCTCCCCTCTTCTGGAATTCCACCTCACACGTTCCCGCCTATCGTATCTCGTCTCACAAACGCGCACTAGGTGCTAACGTAACGATCATGTACGATAAAGATGAGACCACCCCTCTTCTCCCTCTTGTTTCTTCGTCACCACCGTCATTCATCGGCATCCACAGATACGAGATGAAGGAAAAAATGAGCCCAACAACCCCCACCATGCCGGCCCTGTCGCCAGCCCTCTCACCTGCACCAGCAAGCCCAGACGCCACCCCGCCAACCACGACCGCCAATCCAACACCTACTTTATAGTTCGCACATTTCCAACAGCTCTTCCAACCGACAGACAATCCACGCTGGGCCAACCGGCTCGACAAGCCATCTCGAAGCGCAGAGCACCAATTTATAATCGACCACGATGATCAAATCAATCAGCAGACCAACCGCAAGACCGCTTGGGCCTTTATGTTCTTGTTGCTCAAAGCATATCTGAACACGAGTGCTATACGCCACGAAGCCATCAATCAAATTCGCTTTGAGCTGTTCGATGACGTCCGCACTGAATATCACAAGCAATGTGCTGAAGATGTTCGCGCCGAGATCATGCGAGAAGTGCGGATGGATGTCAACTTTTAGCCATCATGTACGATGAAAAGGAGACCACTCCCCTTCTCCCTCTTGTTTCTTCTTCACCACCGCCATCTACATTCCTCAACGACATTCATAACTACGAGATCGAAGACAAAATGAGCGCAACGCCCAATTCACCAGTCACCTCGCCCGCACCAGCAAGCCCCACCCCTCCCGCCACGCCAACCTAGGCCCAAATCGTCAATTTCTTCACATCCACTCCACGATAGGTCAACCCAGCCAACGGCGTACGCAGCGAAGAAGTCCAGGCCCGCATAGACGAAGCAGGACAAGCGACGGCGCACGTACGCTGGCAAAGCACCCTACCAACGAAGCACGGGAGAAAGTAATCGAAGAGATCCGGTTCTTTGTGTTCAAGCAGGTTATAAACGCAATCGACGCACAAAACAACCGCAACGTCAGTGACGCTGTGTTTCGACAGCAATGAGCTACAACACACAAGCGGGTAGGGGTGCTGGGGATGGTGTACACCACGTATCTTTCCTAGTCTTGTATTAGCTAATATCCCTCTTTTACGAAGGTATATATAGTCTTCAGGCCCTCATATGCCACATCTTGAACTACCATGCGTGTGTGATGTCTTATCCAGCCCTACCTACCAGGTCAACAACGATCACGACTCGCAGTGTTGTCAGTACCTCACCCCTCCATGGAGTCGAACTTCTCGTGGTGTAGACATAATGTAGCAGCCATGCTCCGATGTAATCTGTATGTGATATTACTCTTCACCATCCACGGCCTCTACGACTAAAACGCCAGTCATGCCATACTAAACACCGAAACTGTACAACCATCCAAACATCATCTCATAAATTGCCATTACTCATGCAGCATCCATCCAAAAAGCTCGCACAGCAAGCTCCCTTACATCCCCCTCCATCATCCCAACATACCACGGCACCATCACCGCCGACCCCCCCTCTTCCCCTTCAACGGACTCTCCCCCTTCCCACTTTTGCAAAACACGCAAACAAACACCCTGGGCAACCACTCCTCCTTCAACCCCACACAACCCATGTGCAACCACTTGAAGCAAGCTTCACACTGCACCATAAGCGTATCGGCATCATCGACCAAGCCATCACATACACATCTCGTGCTATCATTACTCTTGCTGCTGCATTCCGTCGAGGGCGTAGTCGTAGTCGTCGGCGAGCCGTTGAAGGAATTAGAGTAGGGGTCGTAAGCGCCGTGCGATTGTAATTGGTGAAGTACGTTGTGTGACGGAGGAGGATGGGAGGTGGACATATCGGCACTCGCCTGCGCCCACCGTTGGTTGTGTGCGAGCAGTGTATTTTGCGATGCGCGTTCTGAACTTGTCAGTCGAAGGCATGGGGACGAGGGAAGCGAGATGGCTATGCTAGCGTACCGATGCGTTGTTGGCGGGCGCCGACGACTTTCTTCAAGGCGCCGAGTGCGTCGCCGGGGGAGTCGGGCATGTGTGTGTCTTCGGGGTCTCGTTCGCGGAGGTTGGGGCGGTCCATGGCGCTGGAGCGACGGATGGTGTTTTCGGCGGCGGCAGCGGCGGAGCGGCGGGTGGATCGTAGGGTTTCGAAAGAGGTCTTGGATAGGGCGTCGGATGCGAGTCGGGAGGCAGAGACGGAGCGCGCCATTTTGAAGGAGTTGGCTCGTTCCAGTCCGCCACTGTCTGCGCGGGCGTGTTTCGTCGCTCGACGTTCGGGTTGGGGTATGACGAAGGATGGGTTGCGGCTGACGATTGGAGCTGGCTCGTCGTCGTCCGACTCGCTGTCTTGCTCCTCGTACAGT